AATGGATCCGCAAGGTGGAAGACATCCAAGGAGCAGAAGAAATGCATGCCTCCCTGACAGGACGCGGAACAAAACATACAGAGATGTGGCTACCATGGTTCCTATATATAACCCATTACAGGCAAGACGAGGACCCCCCTGAAGCCACTAACTGGGCAACAGCAGACACGAACCCCGCTTAATACGGATCACTCCCTGCACCCTCTCATTATACCTAAACCCTGTTCACATCCCTCCTATCCTCTCACCCATTAGACCAACAGATCATGGGGCCTGGGGGAATGGGGGTGGGGTCAGGGAGACACACCACCAGACATATGACATGCTAACCTCTGAAAAAGGATAAGCACCCAGTCCAAAGGTGACGTGGGAGGCTATCCAATCCACAGAGAACACGAGATGTGCCTTTCTGCATATACATACAAAGCATACGATTGAACATTAATTAGACCTACACCATACTCTCCTTAAGATATTAATGATGAACACGCCTATAACGCAGCATAGAAACCTACACACGAGAATCGACAGCAACAGCAACATGAAGGACACGACAAGGGATCCACGCGAACCGCAGGCTCTGCCATAAGGATTAGCGATGACACCCATAGCCAAGCAAATAAGCGAGAAAGAGACTAGGGCATCTCCCACACAATCAGTTAGTCGACACACAGAAACTATTTCTCACATTAATAGATCAGGGAGAGACTTCGACATAGATAAACAGGTGAATATCTGATTAAATATAATACTAGCAACGAAACTCCATCATATCCGCATGGTAATGCATGCCCAGCAACACCAATGAGGACCTGCGAGTCCGAATTATACCTGGGCCTGCGAGCCACTTTACCTGCAAATATTCAGATATCCCTCCTGTCTGTACACAATGCATATTGTCGAATAGTATACATACTATAATTGTGGAGACCTGCGAGTCTCAATGTTTTATTCACACAATCTTCGCAAATAATAAAAACATATTTACAAAAAAAAAAGGATTAACTCAGAGCCAGACTTCAGATAGACATAAACTTAAACTTATTGACCCATTAACTATATCTTATTATTAATCTTAAACATAATATATTAAAAACAAACCACACAATTTGGTTATAGTCTATCCATAAGCATATATCTTATTTACCCCCATTTTCCTCCAATTAATAGTCAATCGTCCCTATTTATTAATTCCTCTGAAATGTATATAGTGTATGCGCACACACATGAACCCTATGCCACAAGCTCCTGGAGGAGCCTGCAAGCTAGCCTCCTGCCCAAGGACTATGGGCCGTATCCAAAGACCCCCATTTGAGAGTTAACCTGCCCGGCCTCCCAAAGAGACTTCCCCTGGTTTGGTACCTTCCCTCTCCCGATATCAGCCGGATGCTCGCTCCCTGGCGGTCATTCGCATGAACCAACCCGCAAACACACTTCAGCAGTATTTAGCCGCGATCACTCTGGAACTGTTTTCGGCTGTGTGACCTTGCAGTTCCTGGTCATATTGGTCCGGTGTTTTGACCCCCTTGCCAACCGACCAGGAGAGTGCTTTTTGGAGGGAAGGTTCCCAAGACTGTAAGGAACAAACGCTCCCTGAGCGCCAGGTTGAGCAACCCGCAGTTCGTCCGCAGGAGATCCCGAAAATTGACCAGCACAAGCGCTAATAGCCCTGCAACTATTTTGGGAAGCATGTTTGCGGCCGGTCAGAACATTACCTCAGTGGCGTTTCCCTTATACTGCATGGATCTGAGCGCTATTTGGACAACTTGTGCGCTCAGATCAGGGCTATTTGCGGATCTAGGGCTTGTGGGGGTTCCTATTAGTTTTATATGTATTTTGGGGTATTTTTATGTTTGTGTTAGGCTCTCTGTTCCTGGGAGATAATTAGCTTACCAGTCTTTAACTCAATTATCTCCCAGGGACAGAGATCTTTTGGAGGGGCTTGTATTGTATTGAATGGAGACCACATGCTGGAGGTCTGTGTATAAATTCTGTGTGCCTTGCCCAAATAAACCAGTTCCTTTTCACCCTTAACTTAGTCTTGATTAGTCTTGTTTGGGTGGGCCAGCTATATTCTCTGCAGGAGAGCTTAATCACTTGAGGCTGTACCCAGCCTCAAGTGAGACCCCAGCCAAGCTGCGCTGCCTAGGAGCTGAAGAAGTACAGGTGTTCCGGTGATAGCTAGGAAGCGAGATTAACGTAGGTACCCAGTGGCCGTGCCAGGTGGTCCATCACAAACCCTTTGATTGTTTGTTGGGTCCAACGTTTTGCTTTGCTCGTCCGTTTGTTCCTGTCGGCTGTTTGGTCAGTTGGCTTGCAGAGTGCGTGAAACGCAATAGGGGCTGTGCTGGGATTAACATGGCTCTAGCTGAATCTGACACTCAGGGTTTACTTCCTCAGACACAGTTCTATGATCCCCATAACCGTGAGCCTGGATCCCACTTCATTTCTGTCCACTGCGAGTAACACTGCTAACTGAACTGGGACATTCAATGCTGCATGTTACTATCACAGGGTTTTTTAGCATTGTGTTGGCAAAGGTTAACCACTCAATTTTGCCACATGGATATAAAGCGGCTCTGCAAAATATTCAAAGACCTCTGGTGGTGACATCTGAGCTTGGGGTGCATGGCTTAAATGTGCGGAAGAGGTGAGTTATACTTACATAATGCGGCCACTGCTCTCTTCGAGCTTCACCTGGTGTATTCTTGCACATGCGCAAGGTGACAGAGCCAGTTTCATTCTTTTAATTTTCATTCCTGAATAACTGCGTGTGATTTGTAAAATATCACTTCCATTGCACGCGGAGAGTGAGCACAGGATACTCTCTGCACCATCTATTTTGTTATCAGACAAGCTTGTGATGGTGCCTAGAAAACCTTTAAAAGTATAAGTGATAACAATTTACCTGTTTGTTTCCCCCCAGTCCCATCAGGATGTCGAGACACTTGAGATTCGTAGCTCGCACTGTTATGGTGCAGAATGGAAACGTTGACGGGGCCTACAAGATGTTGAACAGGTAAATTCTGATTGATTCAAGCAGAATCTTTGATAATAAATGCCAGCATGGAGAGTGCCGAGCTCTGGGCTATAAATATTTTGGGCTCTATATGTATATCGAACCTTATTTACAGTTATATAGATGTGATAATATTTAGATGTCAGGAAGACAATGCACTTAATGATTTATGATTACTTCAAATTGGGCTCCTTGGCTGGCTAAATACCAGTATCCCTATTAATGGCCCCATATAGTCTCTCATATTCTCTTTGATTTCCACATCAGCCTTAAATTGGGATTGTCTTGTTTTTTTTTTTTTTTTTTTTTTTAATTCTTTATTTTTATGGTGCTTTGAGTAAATAACATACAGGCTCGTGGTGCCCCAATAGCATTCCCCGAGCATAATTTTCAGGCATAACAGTTGGAGCATTGAGATTATCAGCACATTTTGAAATGTTAAAGTAATGTTGCTTAGATCAGAATGTTAGTAAGTACGAGTTACATTAGCATGGGTTATGATTACAAGAGGTTAATATGTCTGACTTAGGTTACTAACATGCTGAATAGAACCTCATTCTAACTAGCTAATAAATTGCTTGGGGTCTGTAGCTGGGTGTGTAATTAGTGCAATTATATGATAAGCAGGCAAGTGTACAGACGTTTTTATACAAGTATCTTAGCCAAGGCTATTATTCAGATAAAGTAAAGTAAAATGCAGTAAAAGAAAGTAGAATAGAGTACAATAGAGTACCATCAGGCAGATCATGGCACATTGGGTTATCCACTGCAAGAATCAGGGTGTTAGAGACCGCTGTGTATTGCAGGTTTGACTGTAACATTATTAGAATATATGTCCCTCCATGTAGCGGTGAATGCTGCCAGAGTGTCCCTTGGTGAGGCTGCCTGCGGTGAGTTCTGCGGTTTGTGCCTTTCATGTCTTCCGTTTGCTTACTTTATGGAAGCTTATTAGTAGGCATCCTCTTCTTAGGCATGGGGATACACCCCGCAGGTCTCTCCAAGTCCACTGGATCCCGACGACACGCTGCAGGGCACAGTGTCCGCAGGTCGATATGGTCGTGTGACCCCGTCGTGGGGTGAGTGCAGGTCTTGTGCTGACCAGATCACCTTTACCAGGTGCGGGTAGCGGTGCGACCTAGCTGTTACAAGGGGACAGCTTTTCAAGGGGACAGCTTTTCAAGGGGACAGCTTTTCAGTGCCTTACCCCAGTGATGGTCTGCGGTCTTGGTAGTAGGAGGCTGAGATAAGGTGTTCTTAGTTAGCGCGGTCTGCGCGGCTCCTCTCCAGTGGCCTGTGGGGCAGTTACAGCACGTTCGGCCATTTTGTTGAGGCCGCGTGGCAGTCGTCGCCCAGGAGTGCCTTGTGGGTGTTTGCTTGCCTGGTGGGGACCGGGATAACCCCCACCGGTCCAAAGGGGGGGGTGAACGGGGCCGAGAGTGCTCCAGTCGCGTTGTGGTTCTCTGCAGCCGGGGGGAAAAGCAAAGCAGCGGCCGTCTGCTCCACTCCCCCCCCCCGTGTAGGCCTCAGTCTCCAAGCCCCAGAGCATCTCACCGGGACCCAGAACCACCCAATGTCAGGTGCTCTAGCTGCACCGGGACACTCCAGGATCTTGTACCACGGCTTTCCAGGGTGTATCAAGCTGAGTTGAGAGGGGATTTGCCCGATTTTAGCTAAATTCCTCAGGAGCCATAGTGACTTGCAGCCTGCTAGCATGGCCGCCCGGCCCCGCCCCCCTTGTTTTATGTTTTTATGTTCCGTCATTCTGACATTAAACGGTCATTTTAATAATTACTATGGACAAAGATTTTTTATTTTTTCTGTGTTTTATGTAATGTATTTATAAACCACTGAAAAATGTAAATAAAGACTATATATATATATATATATATACACACACACACACACACACACAGACAGTCTCCCCCAAAAGTCAGCACACACCTCACATTTCTGTAAATATTTTATTATATCTTTTCATGTGACAATATTGAAGAAATGACACTCTGCTACAATGTAAAGTAGTAAGTGTACAGCCTGTATAACAGTGTAAATGTGCTGTCCGCTCAAAATAACTCAATACACAGCCATTAATGTCTAAACCATTGGCAACAAAAGGGAGTACACCCCGAAGTGGAAATGTCCAAATTGGGCAGAATTAGCCATTTTCCCTTCCTGGTGTCCTGTGACTCGTTAGTGGTACAAGGTCTCAGGTGTGAATGGGGAGCAGGTGTGTTAAATTTGGAGTTATCGCTCTCACACTCTCTCATACTGGTCACTGGAAGTTCAACTTGGCACCTCATGGCAAAGAATTCTCTGACGATCCGAAAAAAAAGAATTGCTAAAAACGGCTTAGGCCAGGCATAAGCAACCTTCGGCACTGCAGATGTTGTGGACTACATCTCCCATAATAAATACCTGGAAATGGAAAATCCATATTAAATACACATTATATCCATATATCACAATGTAATATCAATAGGGAACATGGGGCTTAATAATTCCCTCTTATATTATGATAAACTGATCCCAGCAGATTGGATTCTGGAAGCTCAGAATTCCCCACTTTGATAAATATCCTGGAGTCACCTCCTCTCTCCATGGGTGACCTACCGCCCCCCTAACTCAATAAACAGGGGTCAGAGGTCATCCTGCCATTTACATGGGACCCCAATCACCCCACTTTTACCACTCAGCACACAATAGGGCAGGAAATGGAAAGTAAACCCCAAACCCCAGTCCTCAGGGAGCAGGAACGGCAGGGATTCTGTGTATTAGCACAGGTATCTAATAATGAGCAGCCCACCTGTGGCCATGCAGGGAGATCCTTAAACCTGCATTGTACGGAGGCTGAATAACAGAGTATTAGAAGGTACGTACCCCCAGGAGCACAGCACAGAAAGCAGCACCCATGATACTGACAGCGATCCAGGAGAATCTGAATCTTCCTGAGACAGGAGCTGGTTCAGCTGTAACAGACATATTACACAATAAATCCGTTTAGATTATTTAATATCTGGTTATTTACTAACAATCATTAAAGGACCACTATAGTGCCCTGAGGGTGCCTCCAGCCAGGCTCTAGGGAGTAGAAGGGGTTAAACTTACCTCTTTCTCGAGCGCCGGGCGGGGAGCCACGCGCGCATTCAGCCAGTCCATAGGAAAGCATTCTCAATGCTGGCGGCTTCTCACTGTGAAAATCACAGTGAGAAGCGCCTCTAGCGGCTGTCAATGAGACAGCCACTAGAGGCTTGATTAACCCATTTATAAACATAGCAGTTTCTCTGAAACTGCTATGTTTATAGAAAAAAGGGTTAAACCTAGCTGGACCTGGCACCCAGACCATCTCATCACAAATCTATACTAAAACATGGATGGAAACCTGCAGTACGGAGCGCCACCATCGGGTAGGTCAGGCTGGTCTATTTCTATGTTTATAGACTCCTTTTAAAGTCAGTAAAAATGTGATATCTAGGCAAGTGCCTAATGGTTAATCTGGTGCCCAAAGCTCAAGTGAAGCGTCTCGTCAGCCTCAAACCTAACGAAGGATCAGCCCAACCTGTGTAACTGCAGGTAAACCAGCGAAACCCAGGAGGGAAATGGCAGACACTCATCATATAACACACACTATATAAACTATACAGTGATCAATACATATTAATAGATCACACCATACACAATGTATCGAGGGATGCACTGTACATGCATGGAACACGTTAAATGTACAACATATAAAACCATACATCATAAACGCAAAGCACAGATACCGTGTAACATGTATCAATACATGGATGTGTATTGGGCTCTCACTTACCAGGAGGATAGACCTGGGGCAGCTTGTAGGAAGAAAAAGGAGTTTTATTCACATGAGACCATTAGATCTAGACAGATGTTCTAGAAATAGATTGCAGCCAAGACAGACCTTATTCACTAAACTCCTAATTAGAACAAAGAGTTACTCCAACCCTATTGGAGGGAGGAAGCTTTCCAGTGTAAAATGCCGTATTGGGCAAAATATGACTAAATCAGAGTTGGAGAATTTATCTAAATCAGATATTTTAGCCTCAGTTTTGTCATTTAGATTTTATGTTAAAATTTGGAGCTTTGTTAATAACTATATTTTACTATCCAAAGTCTAGTGGCGACTGGGAATTATAAGGTCCTGCTTTAATTATTCCTGGGATGAGATGGATTATGGAGAATCTCTAGTGATATTTACAAAACTGTGTGAAGTTCCACTTAATGACTGGTGTTAGAGGAGATATTTTAAGATTCCCAAATCCCACTACAGCCCCATTACCTGTGAGTGTGAGCTGAGCGTGGTCCTCACTCACTGAGTTAGTAACAGTCACTCTGTATGTCCCGTAGTCCGTGCTCCGTACAGTGAGGGTGTCATTAAATTCGCTCAGCTGGTGGCCCTCGGGCAAGTCTCCTTCATCTCGGGTCCAGGTGACTGTGTGTTCCATCTCCCCAGTAAACTGAACTCGCAGAGATGTGGTCAGCCCCGAATTACTGAGAATGGAGCTAAGGCTGGTGATGGAGACTTTATCTGGGAGATAAGACACAGAATCAACGTGTCAGATAATATAAACATCTTCCTGAAATATTATATTGAAATAAATACATTAACGATATTGTGTTATTGTGTTGGGGGGTTTTTATGAAAGATTTAGGAAGTGACATCACGATCCAGTTCAATCCTGGCACGGCCCTGGCAGAGGAGGGAGTGCAGAGGAGGCCGGCCGGCCGGCTGTACGGAATGGAGGCAGCGAGTGAGATGTCATCTCCTTGCTTTACAACCTAGCACGCCCTGCAGGGATGCCGGGAGTTGAAATAAGACGTCACTCAGGCCCTGGGATCACTGAGTGCACTGAGAGCAGGAAGATGACAGAAGACCCACTGGACCCCAGCCAATACACTCCAAGGCTCCCAAAGTTAGGGAGGCTATTTTTTAAAACTATAAATTTCTGAGTGTGTGTGTGAGATAGTGTGTATCTGTTTAGGAGACCGGCCCCTGCTCTGATCGCATGGGATAGATGATTTTGTTCATCTTTTTTTCCCCCACACTGTGCTGGTCTCACCGTTGCTGCCCCACCTCCAAGGCTGAGATCATCAATCTTGATGATCTCAGCCAAGCCAATGCTTTCCCAAAGAAAAGCATTAGGAGACTATTTTGCATGCACTAATCAGCATCTCATAAAGATGCATTGAAATAATGCATCTCTATGGGGAACATTCAGCACCTCCATGCAGAGAGTGGAGATGCTGAATGTAGGTGCTGTATACTGTGCAGCACAGGACTATGAGTCACTTCTAGTGGCAGTGTGAGTGACTCCCACTAGAGATGTTACTAGGCAGCAATGTAAACACTGCCTTTTCACTGCAAAAGCCTGTAGGGACAGATTCTAGGCACCAGAACCATTAAAATAATGTGTAGTGGTTCTGGTGACTATAGTGTCCATTTAAGAACTGTATTTTTGTCGCTGAAAATTAAGCTTTATTAGTTAAAAATAAACAAAAGCCTGGCTTAACTTTTTTTTATCTGCCTCCTAGATGCCATGCAAATTTGTCAGGCCCTGAGATAATCTGTATAATTTAAACTAATGGGGGCAGTTCACCCTCTTCCTTTACATAAAAATGAAACCTATTTACTAGTGGCGGCCGGCTGGGGAGCAGTGAATGTGGGCTGGTGGTGAGGAAGCTGTAATCTCCCTGCTCTGCTCCCTCGTGTGCTGCTTAGTGATGCCAGAATATGATGTCACGATACACAGTGAACCAACACACAGTGTATATATCATAATAGTGTAGACAATGTTTACCGGCCCTTAGAATGGTCAGGGACAAGCAGAGTCAGGAAAGCCAAAAATCAGGGAAGCAAAAAACTCGATAGAAGAGTCACAGGAGAACAGAACAGAGAATAGTCAGAAGGAAGCAGAGATCAAAATACCAAAAAAGACACAGAATAGAACGCACTCTTGGGAACTGTAAACAGAAACCACAATAAGGCAATGAAAAGGGCTGAAACTACAGCTGCTGTCATCGGAACCGCTAGCGCGATTAGAGGGAGCATGGGAAGGGTCCCTCTCCCCTTCATGGAACTCTCCAGGCAGTGTCACACAAGGTACTGTGACATGAACCCCCCTTCGAGAACCGCCCACAGGACGGTAAGAACCATGCGAGAAGGAAAGCGGGCATGAAACGACTTGAGAAGACAAGGAGCATGACTGTCAGAAGAACTAACCCAAGAACATTCTTCGGGACTATACCCCTTCCAGCCAAATGGCCTTCACTTCGTATTCTTCCTGACCTTCAATTTTTACAGGAGGAGAAACATCAATGGGTCTAGTATAACTATTGCAAGTTAGAGGTTTCAATAAAGATACATGAAAGACCAAGATTGGTAATTCAGCCAACTTTCTAAATACTAAGTAAAGATTACTTAGTATTAGTAATTAATCTGCTCCTACTCGCTATATCACGAGTAGGGCATGTCTAGTAAACAGGGAGCAGTCTGTGGCTGCTCACTGTTGCAAAAAAATAAAGCACCCCTCCTGCCACCCCCCCAATAAATGCTATTAACTAGCAAGGGGGACTAGCAAGGAACAAACTTTTTGCCCATTAGTTTATTTTTTGGTGCTTGCTTTTGTTTGGTTTCTATGTTATCAACAAGTTCGGAACTTATCTTAACGTAAGTGCTAGCCACTATCCTATGTGTAGGTACGATAGCTGCTTCTTCTGTGACAAGACAGGAGTGATGTTCATATTGTCGAGACAAAGCATCAGCTTTGGTATTTTTAGTTCCAGGTCTATAGGTTAGAATATAATTAAATCTCGTTAGAAAAAGAGACCAACATGCCTGCCTAGCGGATAACCTCTTCACCTCTCCAAGGTCTGATAAGTTCTTGTGGTCAGTCAAGATAGTAATAGGAATAGGAGTAATCTCTAACAAATGCCTCCATTCCTTCAAGGCATGTATTATAGCTAGTAATTCCCAGTCTCCTATCTCATATCTGCTTTCTGTGTCCGTCAGTTTCTTAGAATAAAGCCTGCAAGGATACAAGGGTTCATCATGGTTCTTTCTTAGGGATAGAACAGCTCCTACCCCGGTCTCAGAAGCATCAACCTTTAACAAATAAGGCAAAGAGGGGTCTGGATGTACCAATATCGCAGCACAGACAGAGGCCTTTTTTTATGGTATCAAAGGCTTCCAGTTCGTCTTGTGACCAATGTTTGTCATTGGCTTCTTTCTTAGTCACATTAGTAATCAGAGCAATTATAGATGAGAATCCCTTAATGAACCTTCTCTAATAATTAGGAAAGACCAAAAAACCTTTGTATAGCCTTCAGTCCGGTAGGTATAGGCCATTGAAGTATGGTTCATATTTAGTCAAATCCATAGCAAATCCTTTTTCAGATATC